GTCAGGAAAATAATAGAATAGAAAACTATTATTTTTATTCCAGGAAAATCAGGTTACATGAGCACCAAGCGAAGGCGGCTGTAGACATAGATGATATATTGGTTACAGGTAGTATAAGCAATGGTTCGCAATAGAGAGACAATTATAAACCTGGTATTAACACAATAAGCCTGACTAGCAGGCTCAGACTGGGATTGATGAAGCTTCCCAATTAAAGATGGAAATTAATACTGCAAAGTTGATGTTACAACATGTAAAAGTAGTGGACACAGAAGTCATGAAATGTAAATGACATACCATGCCAAGATAAAATTGTTAGTGAATGGACACCCAGTGCATATCAACACCAAGCATAATATAGAAATATTAATTATGAAAAGCGAGAAGTCGTGAGACTTACTCAAATACATCAGACAATGGAGACCATTCTTTTTAAACATAGCCCCTTTATTGTTCTTTTGGGCAATGAACTTTCCAATAGAAGATATCTGTTTGAAGATTTTAATCACTATATGAACTGAAAGAGTTGCCCTTTTAAGGCTACTTAAGAATACACCTCTTTCACATATCAGGATTAAATGGTTAATACCACAAGTGCCGACTTTAATTTCTTCATGAAGATTCGGGTATGACTCCACATTCAACCAGAATTCAGTTCACATTCTAGAAAAACATGAGATATGTTTTCCTTGTCAGTTTTAGAGAAGGAGCAAATATCCTCATTCACTAATTTCATATATTTTAGTTCTTTCTTAGTGTAGACTATACGGTGTAAAAAAAATAAACTGGAATTCTAATAGTTTACATCCTTTGTGCAATACCTAAAGTGAAGAAAAATATCTTTCCTGGGCGGAAATACCAAAATGAAGTTTTCAACCCATTTATCACACACAGGCGGAAACTCATCACAAGCAATATAGTAATATCTAGGACCCATACGAGATTTAAGAATGTCAAGTAACTTATTACTAATCCCCATGTTTGAATTCTTGATACATAATTGTTAAATACTACATTGTTTCCAACTAAGTACTTTATGATAATCCAAAAATGTTCTGCCAATATCATAAATATTCTTCAGATCAGCAAGTCATTAAACCCTTTGTTCTACATATGTCTTTTACAAAATGAATTCCTTTACTGTGCCAGTGTTTAATAAAAAATGTTTTATCTCTAATATGATGACTGAGCCGGAGGGTTTCGGACAAAATGTCAGTAATATGAGGGGAATTTCTTTTTCTTTTCTTACATAGTTTGCCAAAGCCTTCAAAACACTTTGACAGCAAGGGTTCTTACAGTGAATATAAGTATCAATGTTGGCACACAAGGTGAATATTTCTTCTGTAGGAAAATTACTTGAAATTAGGACTATGAATACCTAGTCTTCTTTACCTGAAAATGTCGAATTAAATATACTTTACGTGAATAATTATTCGATATGAGGTTGGAAATCTGAGAGCACAACCCTGTGAGGAAATGGGTGTCTACCTTTGATGGTGGCGATATTTTATTAAAAATACTTTTCGAACCTAAGCGAGGGACGCACGTTGCCAACCTTTGCTCGCTTCGCTCGCATATAGAAAGACTAGTCATTTTCTCTTTGTTGCGCAACCCTATTTGCGCTACAGTTTGCCTGTGGTTCAGACTATCGTCAAAATATGTAACAAAAGTGATTTTACATGATTTTACACAATTGCACAAGTAAAAAATCGACTTTACCTGAAAATGTTGATTTTTATGAGATTTCTTACAAGGATTAAAACGGCATCGACACAACGCAGCAGCAATCACCTTCTAGTTGAAAGTGTGCAGCAAAGAGCATGCAGTGTCCGGCTATAAAAATCCAGCTTACTTTCGGAAATCGGCATTTGTTTTGAAGGAGTTTCAAGGTCAAATAACTACGCTACGCCTTGACGCTGCGACACGGAACATCGCCATTGACAGAATCCACGCTGGAGATTAACAATCTTCTGCTGCCTTGCGTCTGAATGTTAGTCTGAGCACAATATCACGATTTGCAGCTCGTTACAACCAAACGGGTATAATAAATGACCGTGCCCATACAGGAAGACCTCGAGTCACCACTGCAGCCCAAGATCGGTACATCCGGGTACTACATTTGCGTGATCGTACTGCCACGGGTAAGAGAACAGCAGCCAGTGTGCCTGGACTTCGGAGGATATCCGGTCAAACTGTACGGAACAGGTTGAGAAAGATTGGACTGAGAGCCAGGAGCCCCGACGTCGGGACCGTGCTACGTCGTAACCATCGCGCTCAACGTGTCCGTTATCTAAAATTATTCACTTGGTTGTATTGACATTTCCTTGTTCTAAACTGATGTAAAAATTCATGTACTAACGTCTATTTGTGGACGAGTTATACATGTTTGAAAATACATTTTTGCAATAGATTTCTGGGTTATGCGTTTCTTTTTTGAATAGTATATATCTGAATACCCATATGTTTAGTTCTTTCTAAACTTGAAAAAATCAATAGGAAATTCATCCAAGCCTGGACTTTTATTGTTTTTCTTTGATTTAACTGCAAAGGCTATTTCTTTAAGGTCAAATTGTTTCTCCAGTTCTTCATTAAACTGCTTATCAATTGTAGGAACTATATACGAGTTCAGAGTCTTTCTATTTTCGATACTTAAGTCGCGAGATGATTTGTACAAGTTTTTATTGAAAGTTTCAGTTCTATAAGTATTTCACTGCCACCTATAGTTTCTTCCACATTGTCTGAAATAAGCGCATTAATCAGTTTAGGGATATAGTGTCAATTCTCAAGATGGCAAAAGTACTTAGTTGGTTTTTCGCCTTCTTCATACAATCAGGTCCTAGTTCTAAAATCTGTTTCTTTAGTCTGGGTTTTTCTTTCATACTTTCCAAGTTGAGTTTATCAGCTGACAGAGAGGATAAAAGCTCTTCATCAACTGCCTGAAAATTACTTCTTGTATTGTCCTCCTTAATTCTGGATTCAAGTTCTTGTGTATCTATATTGGAATTCTTTTTATGAAAAGTGCTATAAGATATGGTCTTCCCTCGGACATTCATAAGAAGGTTTCTAAAAGTAATGTATAATTAATGCTTAATTCTAAATCTTTTCCATCAATGACTTTCAAGTCATCTAACGTAAGTACATTCTTGGCATATTGGCGTTTAGTTTCAAGAAGAATGTGTCTAACTATGTCATCGTATTCCTTGATTCTCAGGAGTGAAGTATTAAACTTCCAGTATCCTTTTCCTCTAGTCTTACTTAAGTAGTTGGACAAAGTTAGGTAATAGCTGAATGATCAGATTTGTAACCTGCAAGAATGTTGGAGGATACAGTAAGGTTTGCAATATCTCTGGAAACTAGAAAATAATTGATTGTTGATTGTTGTGTGGGTTATTTCTTCCACCATGTACATTTCTTAGAAGAAGGGTTAAGTTCTCTCCAAATGTCCACTAAGTCATGGTTCTCTATATTGTCAAGTACTCTTTACGGGCTTTAGGGTTACTGGTGAATTTATAGTTCTCAAGATCTATTGATGGATTTAGAACCAGGTTCCAGTCCCAACGTATTATTACTGATTCATATTCGAAGTCATCGATGTTATCAAATAAGGTTTTGTAAAATGTGGGGTTATCCCTGTTGGGTCCATAAACGTTAGCTGTAGCCAGAGTCCCTTTTATACCAGCAATAGTAGTGTCAGCAATTACATAGTTACCTTGAGCATCTTTCTTAAATTTGTGGATCCTCAAAAAGAAAAGTAATACCTGACTGACAACGTAAAACTTTTGCACATCAGTGAATAGGCATGTAAATGTATTATATATGAAACATCATCGCTAATTAATAAAAAGCTGCACTCTGGTGCAACTGTGTAAGTTCTAATATTCTTCAGAATGAAATTTATAGATAATACCACATCTTTTGGCCAGTAAATAACACTGGTAAACCTGCCATAATATGACCAGATAAACCTATACTGGAAAACCTGTTTCCTTTTTTATAATTTAACTGAAAGAACCACACAGCTGATTTCATGCATTTGATTTTTAACTGAAGAGTTTGCGATTTTATCAAAAGACGAACCGAACTGGTGCTTATCCAACACCAAAAGAATACTTCTACTTGGATTTTAAGAGTATAACAAAATTTCAGATCTTTAAAAATTAAAATAAGTTCCCATGATACAAGGCTGCTGATTGGATCGGAGAAAATCAATATATTTCTGTTTCTCTGCACACATTTACAACATTCAAACATGGTCGGATGATGTGATTTCAAATTCCATTCGTCATTGAACCAATCAATTTTCACACAAACTAACCCCACCAGTAGGGACATTTTGCAGACTGTTTCAGAAATGAGAGATGGCTAAAAAGTAATAATTTGTAGTAATATAAGGGTAATGCTTTTTTTGAGGGCATTATCATTTGCAGAAGCCCGAGGTCTTCCATTAACTGCCCGACGAAGGAGGGCAGTTGAAAAAGACCGAGGGCTTCTGCAAATGATAATGCCCTCAAAAATAGCATTACCGTTATTATTGCTAAAATACATGGAATTTGTGTTGAAAAGAAAAAGGAAACAATGAAGGAATTTGACTGTAAGTTTACTCAAAACCAACTTCTGACGGGGTTGACTGACCGAATGCAATTACGTCATTGGACAATTCAAGTGACGTCACAACAGAAAGTGACGATATTCGACCTTGGCCTTTGACAAGACCATAGCCTGCAACATGCCAAACCATGTCAGTGTTCAATTTGGGTCAAACAACAACGTTAATAGTGCAATTGTTAGGGTAAGCACCAGCAAGAAAGCCAATATTATCGCTATTTAAAGCGGGCATTCGGGTTGCTTTGACTTGTTTGACCCAGAATATCTGCCAGTCCAAAGCCAATGTCGAATGAACCGACGCACTCAATATGACGTCACTTGACAACAGAACTGATAGTGGCCCGTCGTTTCATGATAATTCCATGTATTTTAGCAATAATATAATCTATACATTTATACACATAGATTTCTTTCAATTTTCAATAATAAATAAAAACACACCATACGTCTTCTAATAATACTGCATACTATATTTAATCTGTACAACATAATAATAACGATGTTTACCTCTATATAGCGCTAAATACCATACACCAAGTGCAGAGTATACAAATTAAATATCACAAGTCTGAAAAGATGGATCTAGAGCTGAGTTCTGAATAAATTAAACGATGGGGCATGACCTTATTTAGAGGGCAGTTCATTCCACAATTTTGCTTATTTTCCACCAAATGTTGCTAACTTGAAATTTGGAACTGTAAGACGACACTTGGCTTGTGACCGAAGCGATCTTGCTGGTTTGTAGCGTTGGAGCAGACTGGGCAGGTATGCTGGAGCTTGACCATGGTGTGACTTGTACACCAGGCACAGAGTCTTAAACCGAGTCCCTCTGTGTATAAACAGTCAGCATCGAGTTGGCTCCACTGGCAGCTGACACACATAACTAATAGCCCAGGTACAGTCGCCATTTGTTCAATGGATGACTAGCGTCGTTGTATATAAGGAGGCAGCCTTGCATCACTTCGTATTGCGATTGATTGGTATCCCACCAAAACCTTTGAATTGAAGAGTTGTCTGCCCACAACCACCTTCCCTCTTCTTGTATATCAGTGCCGCCAATCCAGAGATGCGCATCTGGAATTAAATAGTAGCAGTCAACACTTGAGAGTTAAAAGTCAATACATTTTGGAAAAAAAAGACCCATAACACACACATATATGGTATTTGGTCCAATGGACTGATTCTGATGGGTAGAATTCATTCTACAGGGTTGGCTGGTGGTCTTTATCATACTAAATGATTCCGGTAATAATACCAACCATACTGGAGATGGGACTTGCCCCAGGGGATGGCACAGAACCCAACAAAGAATATCGTGGTCAAACCATCGAAAATCCACACTACTTGAGTGTGCGACATTGACAGGGTAGCCTGAACATTGACGCATCAATGGCAAGGCGCTTAAACTCAATGTGGACAATGCCATGCCAATGTATGCTTATACCTGACGGAACAAAATCTGCTAGACAAATTCCGGCGACTTGAAAATCACATGCGCCGTGAGCCAGCTGAAGCCTCAACTGGAGCCTGTCAGGATCTTATGATGGACGTCAACCTCTTTTCTCTTGCTGATGTAACCTCTTCCGGCATAGAGTCAATTGACCCCGAAATTACTGACCCTCATTTTCCTTTCTTCATCAGTTGCAGATCGTTCCGAATATCCTGTTTACTTTTTGTTCAATTCTATTTATGTGGAAATTTGTGATTTACCTTCACAGAAACGGAGGCCAATTAGACAACTGATTTACTTCATAAAACTATTACTCGAAACCTTTCTGCGGACTGTTCATTACATGAAGTGAATTGTTGTATCTATCCTGCCGCTCGAACTTAAGAAAAACCGGATTCCAGTAAAACTTAATGAAACTAGAGGAAACATTTCCTGGATTGTGCTGTGCCTTAAAATAAGATCGCCAGGGAACCCCATATCTAAAAGGCAAAAGTCAGTTTGGAGAAAATTAAAATAACAACACAAAACAACAAATTTAAAGAAAAGCTACTTCTCCAAATTGTTGTTTCCCTTAAGGAAAATTAAAAGTTCGGACTCCCCGCCAAAAAAAAATATTAAAAAATTGGGAAAAGAAAAACAAATCTATGAAACAGAATAAACACTTTAGAAAGAATGAAAAGCAATTTTACAGGCAACTCAAAGCTAAAAGTGATGATGAACATGATAAGCGGCCTCCCATGGACGCCAATGAAAAGTTTTGGAAACAGTTGTGGTCTGTACCCGGCGTCTGTAATCTTGAGGCCCATGGGTCCGTGATCACCCAATGCATGAAAAAATAACTAGGTCGTTTCTCTGTTACATCTCACCAGATTGCCTGAAAAGTGTTATCAAAAAGTAAAGTAATCCAACACACCTCCAGGGCCTGATGGTATTGGAAACAGTTTCCCGTGTTCAAACACCATTACTTCACGGTTTAAAAGTCTCTTGTGGTCACAGGTGATGTTTCTCGATGGTTCTGCAAAGGTCGCGCAATGCTCCTTCCCAAAAAAAGGAGACTTGACTGATCCCCAAAAGTTCCTCCCTGTCACACGTTTGAATGCTCAATATAACATCTTCACAGGGTGTTTGACAAATATCGAGCTCCTTGCTAAAGGAGATAAATGTGTCCTGGTAACGCCGGAAGGCACTCGGTAAATCCACCGGTCTGGTGATGGCTTCCTCGACGTTGGACACGAACTATTTCTGCGCGTCCTAAGCGCGCCCACACGTACGTTCGAATCGAATCGTTCAGTCTGACAACACCAGGACAAGTAAACCCCCTTCGACGTATCCAACATATATACTTTCCAATCGTCTTCAGCATATTGAGGCTGCTCCACCTTTTGAACGGTGAAAGCAACACCGCCTTTAAAATTCATACGATCATCTCACCATTCATTACTCGACAGAGCAAAATCCTGTCGGAGCCAACCACTTTTCAGTAAACCATCACTGACTTCTTTCAAGGATTTCTCTCCACTGTACGGAATGCCCAAACCGTGGTTCGTACCCGGTATATGCCAATCCGTGTTTGGATCGAATGAAGGTACCATACAAAATAATATGAACGTCACACAGAAAATCCGGTAGCTTGTTTCCATACCCGGTGACCACTGGCTAGTCGGCGTGTACCTGTCAGGCCTGTCCCTCGCATGGCGGGCGCGAAGCTTGGGACGATGTTGAAAACATCCAATTCGAAGCCTCCATTGGTCGATCGAGATACACATTTCTGTTTGAGCGTTTGTTATCCAGTTGTGATGTTAGATCTCACACAATTATAGGTTTTAAGGGTTTGTATATGATACAATCACATAAGAACAGAGCCCGATGTCAACCACAATCGCTCTCTCAAGGGGGGTAACTCACATCTCCCAATTTCTTAAGTTGTCGATTCAGTGACGAAAACGTTAACCCATGCAATTCCTCATTTATGCTTCAGCAGAGAATTCTTGTGAACGAGGAATGATTCATTTACTATAAACATAAAAATGTACTTACTCTTTTTCAAAGCAAAGTGGTTCATCAGTAGATTTGTTTCGGGGTTGTCAACTTTAAGAAGATGTCCGCCATCTTGAATACATGCGTTTTCTGCATCCGTCCATGATTTGTGCGAGTCTGTGTGGACCTTATAGCACAGATCGAGTGTCCGATTCCAGCTGTACCCATTACCACAGCCATCTGAACATATATACATATAGAGCTATGTCATTTGTCACCAATGATGTATACTCTCCCAAAAAAGAAACGCATGACGAAAATAGCAATTTCATGTAGCAATGAATTAAAACGTGATTCACTTTACAAAAGGTTTTGCTCTGTTTATGAGTCCTATGGTGTTTATGTTTTGAAACATCACAACAAAACGCACCATCCGTAAAATACCCGTATTTAACAGCATGATTTTCAATTTCGGCGTGTAGTGTCACAGAATACACAATTCACATGCAATGCACGTGAAAGTTGGGGATCAGATAGTCTCAATGATGAGTATAAAAGGTTGATCGCTGTCTGTCGATTATTCACTGTATTTGGAATATTGTTGACGAACGCAAAATGCCACGTCTAAGTGAAGCCAACCGTCATATCGCCATTGGTTTGCTTGAAGCTGGCCAGTCTCAACGTGCAGTTGCCCGACGCATGAATGATCACCAAAGCACCATTTCACGGCTCTGGGAGAGATATCGCCGGCAGAATGCGGTAGCAGATGCCCCTCGTAGTGGGCGATCTCGAGCGACCACTGAGGCGCAGGATCGCTACATCCGGGTACATCACCTGCGTCATCTAACAGCTACGGCGACCAGTACCGCTCGACAAATACCCGGATTGAGGAGGCTTTCTGCACAGACCGTCAGGAACAGGTTGAGAGAGGCTGGTGTACATGGCAGAAGACCTTATATTGGCCCTGTGCTTCGACAACAACATCGTCGACATCGAGTTCAATGGTGCACCAAAGTTCAGGCCTGGAACCTACCGAATTGGCGTAGAATTTGGTTCAGTGATGAATCACGATTTCTATTGGAACGACGCGATGGAAGAATGCGGGTGTACAGACGTCGACGTGAACGTTTCGCCGACGCTTGCGTTCCCCAGGTGGACAGATTCGGCCGGGGCAGTGTTATGATGTGGGGAACGATCACCTGCCGTAGGAGAAGTGATTTGGTGATGATCCAGGGCAACCTGACAGCTCAACGGTACTGTGACGAAATCCTACGCCCACACCTCCTTCCAATCATTGATCGCCAGAGGGAGTTGTTTCAACAGGACAATGCCAGGCCCCACACAGCACGTCACACTAGAGACTTCCTCCAGAACCACAACATCAATGTGCTCCCCTGGCCCTCAAGATCACCGGACTTTAACCCGATCGAACATCTGTGGGATGCCCTGGACAGACGGGTGCGACGCCGTAACCCTCAGCCCCAGACACTTCAGCAACTCGCACAGGCACTACAGGCAGCTGAGTGGGCTGCGATTGGGCAACACGAGATTCTAAGACTTATTCGTTCGATGCCGAGGCGATGCCGTGCAGTTCTGGATGCCCACAGTGGTCACACGAGGTATTGACTTCAGCGCCACCACACGTCTCCATGTGACACTCAAACTGACTTCCCTCGCGTTGGTGCCAAAGACGGATAAGTCTGCATTCCCAGTGTGCAATTTCGCTATATTTCATTAACTCATAAAGCCTACAAGATGTTTCAAAATAAACATAAAAATACAGTTGAAATTCTTATATGCGTTTTTTTGGGGGAGAGTATATCTTAAAACCAGTCTTTGCTCTTAACCCTGAGACGCTGCAGGCCCTAAGGACCCAGGGCCATAAACAGTTGTAGGTCCTGATCAGAATGTGTAGGCCCTATATTTTAGCTGCAATATAAGTAATCCCCAGCAAACAAACAAACTGAGTTAAAAAGTTCAGTTCAGAAAACTAGAGAATAGGGAAAGATATTTTCTGAAAAATAATACTCTTAGGTATTGGGAATAAAAACTTCGGGCCTATGGACCGACGTTAGTTTCGAACGCTGCAACAGAGAACACAACACTCGAATCTGTTGTTAGCCAAAATATCAGCACGATTCGATAAGGGTTTAATGCTTATATGCCAGTAATAACCAGTGACTTCATTTGTTGTATTGTGCTTCAAGGTTTCTCAGCGTCATACTCGTGTTTGTGGGTTCCACCAAAGTGGGTAACATCTCAACTTCTCATCCTGAATCAATTTGGACTTTCTTCCCTCAGAAAGAAGACGCGCTGTGATATATGTGAAATATTGTTATCCTAGTGTAACTCATTCAAAGACAACGGAGGCATTGACAACGTTACAGAACCATTCAGTCATTAATGTTTAGCATCGTAACCATCAATAAGAATCATTTTCCATGGCCAGAATACGATTATTTACAGGAGCATCGTGCTACAAACTGTACAAACGTGTCTGAAAAGACTTTTTACAAAAAGAAATGAAAAAGGTACCTCGTTTCCACACCAGATACTGCATGTCTGCTGAAACCTGGAGATCATCCTTGGTGTAAACTGCGTCTGACAGGTAGCACGTCTTGGAGGAGGTCTGGTAAAATGCAGAGGAACAAGTGGCGTTGATGTAGCACTTGGTGATGCATTCATTTCGCGATTTAACCACTAAACCTTGTGGTAGAGAGGACTTAAAATAACCCTGTAGTGCAAGCACGATCTGTAAACCTGTAAACATCATTGATGAGTACTTGTAAGTCAGTGAAGTAACTAACTAAATATCTAAAAATATAAACAAATGTGTTTCTCCATATCATACAACATGACATCGGACTGATGCATAGAAGGTCACTCTCTAAATGAACTAGTGATAATACTGATGGGAAACGTGCACTCGATGCAGTGAGTTAATATTTCATCCGAGCTTTTAAAGTCAGAAAGTTTGCAATGTAGTAAAACACTATACATGTTCATTCTGTAGGATTTGAATGGCAAGGATAGCGTTTGAACAGTGATATGTGACGAACTTATACTGCTCTTAAACAATGATCTAATCAATATATCTGCAGCTTACGTTCCTGAACTGTTGGCTGTTTGTCAGCCAGATACAGACTCGATTTTTTTAACAGTAAACACTTATCTTGTTTTTGGATCAGTTGTTTCTGTATTCATTTCAACATGACATCTGGAAGGTAACTCACTACATGACCTGAACGTTGTGCAGCGAGGACACTGAACAAAAATGTACACTCAATAACAATGAGTTAATAGTTAATAAAAGCTTTTAAAATGTGTACCAGACCATCAGAAAACAGCAAATGAGACACTAGACAGACAAATTTTCGTAAAGGCATTGAGTTCACATAAATATTTTGCCCCATGACACGTGAATGGTGTGTCATTCTTGATTTTGAAGGCCATCTTGCATCTATTGATCACACAGTTGTTAGTGTTTGATTATCAGCTAAAGAAAAATGGTATCATAGACTCTGTTATTGACATTGTGAATTCATATAGATATCTCGGTATTATATTTTCATCCACGTTTAAAATGAATAAATGTACAGACGATGTAGCACTGAGAGGAAAAAGAGCATTAGTACAAATATACTCTCCCAAAAAAGAAACGCATATAGGAATTGCAACAGTATTTTTATGTTTATTTTGAAACATCTTGTAGGCTTTTTGAGTTAATGAAATATAGCGAAATTGCACACTGGGAATGCAGACTTATCCGTCTTTGGCACCAACTCGAGGAAAGTCAGTTTGAGTGTCACATGGAGACGTGTGGTGGCGCTGAAGTCAATACCTCGTGTGACCACTGTGGGCATCCAGAACTGCACGGCATCGCCTCGGCATCGAACGAATAAGTCTTAGAATCTCGTGTTGCCCAATCGCAGACCACTCTGCCTGTAGTGCCTGTGCGAGTTGCTGAAGTGTCTGGGGCTGAGGGTTACGGCGTCGCACCCGTCTGTCCAGGGCATCCCACAGATGTTCGATCGGGTTTAAGTCCGGTGATCTTGAGGGCCAGGGGAGCACATTGATGTTGTGGTTCTGGAGGAAGTCTCTAGTGTGACGTGCTGTGTGGGGCCTGGCATTGTCCTGGTAAACAACTCCCTCTGGCGATCAATGATTGGAAGGAGGTGTGGGCGTAGGATTTCGCCACAGTACCGTTGAGCTGTCAGGTTGCCCTGGATCATCACCAAATCACTTCTCCTACGGCAGGTGATCGTTCCCCACATCATAACACTGCCCCGGCCGAATCTGTTAACCTGGGGAACGCAAGCGTCGGCGAAACGTTCACGTCGACGTCTGTACACCCGCATTCTTCCATCGCGTCGTTCCAATAGAAATCGTGATTCATCACTGAACCAGATTCTACGCCAATTCGGTAGGTTCCAGGCCTGAACGTTGGTGCACCATTCAACTCGATGTCGACGATGTTGTTGTCGAAGCACAGGGCCAAAAAAAGGTCTTCTGGCACGTAAACCAGCCTCTCTCAACCTGTTCCTGACGGTCTGTGCAGAAAGCCACCTCAATCCGGGTATTTGTCGAGCGGTACTGGTCGCCGTAGCTGTTAGATGACGCAGGTGATGTACCCCGGATGTAGCGATCCTGCGCCTCAGTGGTCGCACGAGGTCGCCCACTACGAGGGGCATCTGCTACCGCATTCTGCCGGCGATATCTCTCCCAGAGCCGTGATATGGTGCTTTGGTGAACATTCATGCGTCGGGCAACTGCACGTTGAGACTGGCCAGCTTCAAGCAAACCAATGGCGATATGACGGTTGGCTTCACTTAGACGTGGCATTTTGCGTTCGTCAACAATATTCCAAATACAGTGAATAATCGACCAACCTTTTATACCCATCATTGAGACTATCTGATCCCCAACTTTCACGTGCATTGCATGTGAATTGTGTATTCTGTGACAAATACCCGCCGAAAGGTCAACAGCAGTACAGGATCATTTCATTCGGTACCAGGCTTTAAGAAATGGAGCTGTAACGGCCTGTCTAAGTAAACTTAGACTCAGTATTATTCGTTACACTGCTAAAGTGAGTCTAACAAAACCTTGTGGAAGGTCGCGTCAGCTAACCTTTGAGCGACCTATGACCGTCCAATCAAACGCGATACGGCCGAACGGATTCAACCAATTAGACAACGGCTACTATTTATGGTTCGGCGGGACTTTGAACAACAAAAAAACCAAAAGAACTATAATGTATAATGTTTTCGTCATCGGGACAGTACTGTTGACGTCATTCGAATCTCGTATGGTCGAAATGACGTCACGTCAGAAACGACGTCTTAACTTAATATTGTCGACGTCAATCGATAGCTGTAGTTTAACATGACGTAGGTTGGTTTGTGTATCTGTTCTAAAGGTGAGCTCAAAACGATTTACAAATACTTGTTAACAAAGAAAATGTTACACTCTGATGTCTGTCATACTGAATTTATGGCGCTCCTGTAAGAGTTCCTGTGTTAATGATCTACCAGAAATACAGACATTCGTTCTGTAAAATCAGGAAGACACACATGCACGTTACCAGAAAGACAAATGATAAACAGATGATGGCGGTTTACGTTCGGGTTAAATATCTCCTCTAACTTATTTCAATTGCATCTGTGATTAACCACATGGGGCTATATGAACGTTGCATTTCTACTACCAACGTAACTTAAAAACCCGAAATCTAAATGAAGCTGACGAGACACGCGACATTCCACGGATGCATTGTGGGACTATTGTAGGTTTAATTGTGAGTCTAGCTAAGACATTTTATCCGTCTAAAAGCATAAACGTAATGTGTCAACCAGTGATGTTAGCCGGGTGAAGCAACTGCAAACCAAGAAACAGGGTGCTACGGGGTAGTTTACCGTAGGAGACTGTATGAGGCGTTTGTTAACGAGGGGGTAGACGAGAATGACGTTGTGACGTCAATACAGTGTGTACAATACTTAATGCTGTATCTTTGTACTGTGTCTTTATCGCCTGATAAAGTACAAGCGCCTAAATGGTCTTTTTGCGAAACATCTTAGAAATCTTCATATTTCATATGTAATAGATATCTAGCTCAGTCTATCACCGTGACGTAGGCACTGTCCACACGGCCTTGGTATCAATCTAATCGTGGTTAATCTGCTCTATGTTATATCCATGAAAACTGGTATTTCAAGAAACAGTTAAGCTGAAATCGACCACACTGAATAATAGATTGGTTAATAAAGACAAATGGGGATACTTGGTATCACCATGACCAAGGAGCAGTAGAAGAGCAACCATGCCTATTATTTCGATACTGGAAGTAATGGAACCCGAGCCATTACAGGGTCCGTTTGGTGAAAATCTGTGTAATCTGTCAAATCATAACAAATTCAAACCTGTCATAGTCTGTATTTATGACAAAATACTGACTTAAATACAATATATATATATATATATATATATAATATGTGTTTCCTAAACTGACTTTAAATGAAGTTCTAAGAATGTGTACCCAGATCAAACATTTCGCCTCAAGTCAGGAAACACGACTTCTGAATCATGTGCAGAACTTGGAAAGTGCAGCTGAGGACATTGCACTCGAGGCATCGGCACACAAAATACAAAGTAAAATCAGTGACTTTTTCACAAGGTAAACAAAATATATCTTGTTTTTATTTGAATGAATAAACATGAATGTGCATTCAGACACTGCCTTGTTTCTTATTCAGACATGTTGTTAATGCTAAAGTGTCAGTACGACCATGAACTTCCCGTGTGCGCCGGCGTCATAAGCGAACTTGCAACCCCCCTAAACCGGCACTCTGTCAAAACCGGCATTTGTATTTGGTCCCGAGTGATGCCGGTATTGACAGAGTACACTGTATATATATATATATATATATATATATATATATATATATATATATATATATATACACACACACATATACATACCACACATACATACATACACGCACGCACGCACGCACGCACGCACGCACACACACACATCTTTATATATATAGACCTAGCGTTGATTTATTCGCGGAGTGGTCCCTGCTTCAACCACGGGTTTTACGAAATTGTGGACTGTTTATCCCAGTTCTGGTCGTATCCCAGTTCTGGTCGCTACACACGCCCCTGTTGTGTGCAGATACATCGTCATCCATTTGTGTCAAGATCGTTTAGTTGAGAGTCAAAATCGAGTTTCAATCGACTTGCAGCAATAGCAATAAAGAATTGGTAGGTGTCATGAGTGGTGCTCGATAGGCCAGTCATCCATGATTATGTTTACATAAAGTTTTAATTGATTCCATGCGATGACAGCGTAGCGATCGGCAAAGCAGGCGGGTAGGGTACACTGAAGTGTCCGGCCTTGTCATGATGTATTGTACTGTGAAAGGGGGTCATCTCAAATGTTTATATCTCTTTTAAAAATCTTTAATCCTCGCAAAGACACGAGGACCGGTGGTCAGGCGGTAATGAGAAACAAGAATAATCTAAATATGGCCTAAGAACACATTACCAACTCATCACAGTCTGTTGCAGTTTGGTAGAGAGTTGATTTGGATGGTTTGTTGTTTTACGCCGCACTCAGCAATATTCCAGCTATATGGCGGCGGTCTATAAACAATCGAATCTACACCAGACAATCCAGTGATCAACATCGGGAGCATCGATCTACGTGATGAAAAGTGTCAACCAAATCAGTGAGCCTGACCATCCGACCCCGTTAGTCGCCTTATAAGTCAAACATGGGTTAATGAAGATCAGTTGTAACCCGGATCTTCGTGTGTGTAGTTTAGAAGAGAATTGGTTCGTATGGTCACTCGTCAAATTTCAGACCA